TATTCGTGCGCCTTGTGGTTTTGTTGTCGCTACCCGAGTTTTCGATGTGAGAATACTTGGATTCGACTTAAATTTACATGGTGTGTGTAATCGATGAAGCAGAAGACGCTTACCCTGCCGGAACACCTGTCCCCAGGATTATGAAACGATCTTAAGAAAACACTTAAGTCTAGGATTATTTTAGGATCCCGGGGCCTGGTGTTAGCCTCCTTATTTATTTTAAGGGTCCCCATCAGGCATGTAAATATTTCTTTTGTTCATATTTTGGTTTAGTTTTTACTTTTATTTATTTTGAGTTTGAATTTAGGTTTCTTTGACACTTCGGTATCCTCTTGTTGTGTTTCATACATATATGTATTATTTGCATATTTAGGTGATCACTCGATTATGATAACAGATCAATAAACAAACCATGTTAAAAGGGCATTGCCGACGTGAATGAAAGAACAAATGAGAGACAAGAAAGAACAGACGGTCAAAGTGTTGCCATAAGGAAGCAGATCAATGTTCATATTTGCAGTGTTCTTAAGCGGATGAAACTTTCAAAAAATTCGGAGTCCCACATTGGTCGACTCATACAGCCATGCAGCGCGATACAACTGGTCAATTAAATGATACCAAAACATTATAGACTTTTTTCCTCATTGTAGGGAAACACAATTATTTGTTTCCCCGATATTAATCATAATTAACTTTAGCTGCTCGGTCTTCTTCGCCCTCGTGTAACATGAGTGACCTCGCAGAAACAACTTCAATATACCGGAAAAATAAAAAATAAACCACAATAGCATAGACGATAAAAATGACGCGCCATTTTTGTTGTCCTCTGCTTCCGTCANATGTTTTGTGTCTTGCGACCTGTATCATCATATTTTCCCTTTCCTGGTTTCGAAAATACAGTATGTCGTATTCGCAAGCAAAACGTGCGGTATTCCAACAATGGACTGTGAAAAAACAACATTGCGGAATAAAAAAACCCAGTAAATTATCTTTTAGCTAAAGAACTGTAGAACAAAAACGTTGAGATGCAATAGCATGTGAAGATTAATGCGCTTACAGGAATAACGGGAAAGGAAATTGCAGCAGTTTTGTTATAATGAGTTATTTTTTTGAACAAAAACAAATCGATATTTCTATATTTTTTTTAAATTCAAGATTGTAACGTGGAAGATTGTTACATTGAAAAGTGACACAACGGTAACACGTGTCTGGATATTGGACCAATTAGCTCTGTAATGAAAACAGCGTTTTATGTCGAGCCGATTATCAGGGGCACACGGGTGACATTTTTAATGAAATAATAACATGTTAAATATGTCTAGAAATCGGCTAGAACAATTTTCCGCGGTGGGTATTAAGTCGTTGTGACTCCTAGAATACACAGGAATATATTATTTACGCGTGAATTTAGAGTTCGGCCTGCTGCTGTCGTGGATACCTGACGATGTTGACTTTTTTTGCATAAAATTGCGATCCATTTTCCTGAGTATTCCCGGACTTTAGATTACACAGGAAAGCATGACTGGATTAAAGGAAATTCTTTTAGTATAAGATACGTGGGACCTCAATTATAATCTCCTTTGTTTGTGTTTTACATTTGTACGTCATATTACATTTAAGGGTGTGCCAGGTTTAGGTGGTGGAAGAAAGCTGGAGTTTCCGAGAAAAACCACCGGCCTGCGGCCAGTACCTTGCGACTGCCCCACGTAGGCCTCGAACCCGCGACCCGTGGTGGAGGGCTAGTGGTAGCAGAATGTCAGACGCCTTAACCAGATCGCCACCACGGGCTTTAATCATCATCTTCTATAAAACTGTTCACATGATTTAAAATCATCAAGTTTGCAGCTCACTTTAAGTGGAAATGTAACAACCACTTTTAATAAATAAAAAGCCGAGCCTCTTAGCAGGACATTAATTCATTGTTGACGTGACATTATATGATTGTTATGACTGGTGAGTGTTAAAAGACGAGGGGATTTTCAGTCAAAACAATTGTGTGACATCACGTCAACAATACATTGACCCAGTAGTGTCAAAATAGCATTATTTTATATTTGACAATGTCAACAGGTTAAAAGAAAATGATTCATTCATCAGGTGAGATGGAGGATTTTGTTCCGTGGGGGAAATATTATTTGTTTGCGAAATACTCTGCAGTCGAGATTCCCAGATCTCAAAAACATCTGTCATGACAGAATCGTAAATGCAGGGGCGCCACCTTGTGAATGATGAAAGAAGGCCGGTTTGATCCTTTGATATATAAAAAGAACCGCGCGGCAGTGTAACGATAAAATTGACCTGCTTTGAATCGGGTGTCTCTTCTCTGTAAACTTCACCTGACATGTATCAGCCCAGAGAATAATCAAATAGCTAGCCTAAGGCCTTCAATTTTGCCAAGACCATGACCAGGTGAAAAGATAGATAAAATCGTTCACGCGATCAAGGTATCGTCGATACTCCCTGGGTTACACTCATTTAAATGTAGGCTCTCTGCATCCCTGGAGTATCTTAATGGCGTGAGAGATTATATCAATCTTTTCCCTGGCGAAACAGGAATGCACCCGTGAAATGTAGAAGTATATATGACTTGCTAATAAACCAGACAGACTAGCATCGATGCGATGGTCCATTTCAGTTCTGTCGAAATTGTTTAGACAATGAAGCCGGCATCTGGTAAATGTTAAGGATATACAATGTATATTTTGAATTTGTACATGTGTTACAATGAAAGTATAATGTAATAAAAATATGAACCAGTCTTCTTGACCGTTCGTAAACCCATAACAAGACAACATTTTACTGTCATTTTCAATATTATTGTGTTTCTGTTTTGTTTATAATTCAAACATTTTTACATTAAAGTTTACTGTTTCTTAAAACAAAGTAATAAAACAACACCAGATATGTATTTATCCAAATCTTTTATTGACTAATGACACGTGGAGAAGTTTTAATTGTGCGTAAATAATCTGTATCGATTAAATAAAGTATCTGATCTATTTAAAATATTATACTATTTAAGACAAGTATAGAAACCGCCATGTACTATTTTAAGAGAAGTGATGGGTATAGGGTTGGGTGAGAGGTTGAGAGAGAGATCGGGGAGGTCGGGGAATCATGGAACTAATGGTGATCCGAATAGCTTGTTTGTTTTTGCGTTTCTGTGTAAAGTTTAATGAAGGCGGTACCCACTGATGGCTGTAAAATTAATGGACCACTTTAAAGTGCTATCTCATTGATATGTCATGAACTGTAATCTGGAAATAGTGTAAGATAGAACCCGTGTCAAGCAGCCAAATTCAGCAACTAAATGTAGCTAAAAAGCGAATCAATTGGTATACAGCATAAAGTGAGGTTGGTATCATACTTTTCTAGTAGTTTTATTTACTCCTACCTCACTCCCGGTTTCAAAAAAGTACGAAATTTAACAAGATTATTCATATGTAGT